GCACATGAGTGTGAACACTATATGTTGTAACCACACACCAAAAGTAGGAACCCCGAGATCAAAACACACGAAGCAGACAAACAAAAAGCAAAGCAAAAGGTGCTCAGAAGTGGTGAGGGTGGTGAGAGTGAGTGAGCGGTGCCTAGCTGGTGCCCCTGGGACTCTTGGCACCAGGTGCAGTGTGAGGCCTGGTGCCTGCCTGTGAAGGGCACGGGTGACCAGGGCTCCTGGAAGCTGTGGGGCGCAGCTGTGCCACAGCCCAGTCTTTTTTTAGATAGAGTCTCACTATGTAGTGGAGGCTGGCTTTGACTCACAGCTCTGCAGCTTTGCCCCTTCCCTGGGCTTCCTTCCTGATGCCCCAGTGCAGTGCTCGCTTCCCTGTCTGCAGTCTGACCTCCCCTGGTATCTAGGCAAAGGGGACCCCGCGGACCACCCATGATGAGCCCACTGCCCCAGGCAGCAGTGTGAGGGGAACCAGGCTGTTCACTCCTGAGCAACCCTCACTGGCCCCCAGGCCAAGGCCCCTTCTGCAGTGGTGGAAGCCAGCCTGGAACCCATGCCGACACTCCCTGGGATCACATTTGCGCACCCTGACTTCTTGCCATGATGAAAGTCAGGAGCCCGCTGTGGGGGCTGGTGGTCCCTGACTCCTCCTTGGGAAACTTTCTTGGATCTTGCTGGGGACATCCTGGGGGGGTCAGGTCCAAGTGAACTGCGCTTTGGAATTTTTGTTTCCTGTTTTTGTCTTTTAATAGTGATACACTGTAGACATTTTCCTTAAGAAATATTCAGCCACCTAATGAAAAGAGCAGTGAGTACTGAGTGTTGTTACTGTGGGTCTCCAAACAGCCCAGGTCCCCAGAGGGTCTTCATGGGGACCTGCCATGGCCCAGGCTCCGGGGAAGCATAGTCTTGCGGACTGCCCTGAGAAGGGACACTGATGGGCAGCAGCCAGACATTGCTGTCCAGGGAGACTTCAGGAGGGCAGAGAGGCCTGGATGTCCTGCAGGCATCAGTGGAAATGCTTCCCCAGCACCACATAATTAAACTGCATGCTGCCTCTCTTTGGGGTTTCCGTGATTTCCTGCTGGGGTCAGCTGCTCGAACCCTCCTGGCAGCTGGGTCTCCTGTGATGACCTTGATGTCTGAGCTAAGAAGTGCGAGAGCGCTCAGCTCCAGGCTCGCCGCTCCTGTCTGGAGTCATGCTGGGTCTTCTCTGGCAGAGACCCTGGGGCCACGCTGGGCTTTCAGGGCTTTCTGAGACTTTTCCTGGGCTGCTTGGTGCCAGTCCACCTGAGATCAGGTTGGGATGCATTGCTGACATCTCTCCTTTCGGGGAGGAGGAGGTGGGCTGTCCTATTCCAGGTCTCTTTCCTTAAGCTTATTTGATTTCATTCCTGTTTGGGAAGGGATTTTCCTGATTTATGAGCTCAGATTCACCCTCTTTTTAATTTTATTTTATTTTTTGTTTTTCTTTTGAGATAGGGTCTGGCTGTGCAGTTCAGGCTTGCCTTGAGCTCACTTTGTAGCCTAGGCTGGTCTCGAACTCGCAATGATCCTTCTCCAGGATCATTGCGCACCCTGATCACAATGATGTGGGCTTTGGGCTGTTGTTGGGGCATCCAAGGCCTCCCGAGTGCTGGAATTACAGGTGTGAGCCACCACACCCGGCTTCCAGATCCACCTTCTTCTAGGAACTTTCTGGGTCGGTGGGGGACCTAATGGGTAAACGGGACAGGTTTTCAGAACTCACTTCTTACAGAACTGTACTGGGGTAGGATTTGTCCTGTGGACAGCTAACCTGCTGCATATCCTTTGGCCCAGAGAACTGGGCATCTGTGAGACCCTAGGAGCACAGTGTCCAGGTGCTTAGAGCCAGGTGCCCTGTTGGCGATCTATACACTATGCCTGCCTCCCTTTCTGGAGCTGAGTACGCCTAGGGCGAGGGGCCCTTACTTCATGAGGCTGGGTTTGGGCGCTGTGCTGAGCATTGCACAGGGATTCCCTGGAAACCCCGTTGAGGTTTTCATGGTGCAGAACAAGAAACTGAGCCTGACAGGAAGACCTTGCCTGCATGAGTGGCATGAGTGGCTGAGTCAGAGGTGCCACGTTAGTTGTTGCATCTTCCTTGATGGCTATGGCTTTGAGCTTGGACTGTGCCCTAATACTCTGTCCGCCAGTCCCCAAACTGGGGCTCCAAGTGTGAGCCTGACCCAGGCCGCAGCCTTGGATGCCCCAACAACAGGCTGGAGAGGAGACACTCTCGTTGAGTGGACTGCTGTGTGCTTTTTCCAAATCCGAGATGGAGTTTGGAACAGCAAATATTTAATCAGAGCAAATTCTTCTTGCTGAGATCCTGTCTGCTTGCTGGTTTGCCTACTGAGGCTCAGCTTTTGCCAGGCCACCTCGGAGTTAACAGAGGCCTGGGTGGTGTGCCAGTGGGGTGTGCCCACTTGTGTTTGTCTTCGGTGGGTACTGTGGTGGGCAAGCTAATGGTCACCTTGGAACACCCAGCTGGAATGAGTCGGTGTGGCACTGGGTGTGGAGGGCCCACCTGAGGATCGATGCCAACAGCATGAAAGCAGAACTAGAGAGGAAGATAGTGCTGCTGATTCTCCCGGGGAAGCTTGTCACAGTGGTTTTCCTGATAGGAACTCAGTTCTCATGTCAGAGGAGCTCTGGTCCTTGCTGTTGCTGAAGGATGGCTGTGGTTCTTTTCGGGAAGCCCTGTTCCTCACCCTGGGCAACACCTCATGGCTCCAGGGCAGACCTCTCAGCCTGCTGGCACAGCTCTTTCACCCGCTGGTGCAGACTTTCTGGTTTCCACTGTTGACTTTGGGCCTTCTCAGTGCAGATCTGTGATACTCGCAAGGGTATTGCCCATTGCGAGTATCACAATGGGCTCTAGGCTTCCTTCATGCCTCGTTCTCCTCTGGTGTAAAAACGGGCACTTTGAGGAAAGTGTGTAAACAAGGTGTCTGGTATTTCTACATAGGTCCTTCGTGTCTGTCAGTGGAAACGACCCTGGACTAAAACAGGGTCTCAGTTTCATGAGTAGGGGAGAGTGTTTCTGGTACAGGGGTAGTCATGAGCTGAGACCTTCCGGGCAGGGGTGGTACCCACGAAACTCGGCCTTCCTGGGCGCTGTTGGAAACCATGGCTTGGACATTTATGGGTGTCCCAGTAGCCTGGGACTTTTTAGGAAAAGAAACTGAGTTCACTTTATCATGCTTCAGTTTTGCTTCCAGCTTTGAATCACTGATCTCCCTGGGAGGTATTTTCTTCTTCTTGTAAATAACAGCTGTGATATGCTCTGTGACTGATACTCTGTTCCAAACCGTGTTCAGCTGTATGCTACAAGCAGGAGTTTTGTCTTAGCACCGACTGCACCCTCACTCTGTGATACTAATTGGAACATAGTGCTTGGTCTCTTTGTGGAACATTTTGTTTACTTTGATAATGTGAATAGATGTGACACTGGGACTGTCTCATTGGAGGAGGACAAAGTTGTGAACGTTTATCAGATAGAAAGAATAAGAGCTCCAGTGGGTCAAGAAAAACCAGACTGACAGGCCACTCGGGAGGACACAGGTGGCCAGCCGGTCCTAAGGAAAAGTTCTGGCTCTGATTCATAAGATGACAGACATCAAAGCGGAACAACAGTGCTCAGCCTCCTATGGAACATTCGGGCTGGGAGGGCCTGAGCTCGGCTCTTCCCCGAGGCCTGTAATGTGGCTTGGTGGTTAAAGTGTGATTGCACTTTATTTCCTGAAATCCTGACACGTAGACAGAACACAGCCCAGCAGTTCTTTGGTTAGTGTCTACACCGAGTCTGTACTCCCTGGACACAGGTGTGTGTGTATGTGTGTGTGTGTGTGAGGGCTTCACACCCTTGTCAGTGAGCTGCTATCTGTGCAGTGGGTGAACACAGCCACAAAATAAAACAAAAGGAACACTTGGGGTGAGTGTCAGTTCTGATTTCACATTATAATACAGTAGTGCACGGTGACCAACAGTTAAGGTGGGGTTTTGTGTGTTAACAGATCTCCATGGCTTATTGTTAATTTGAAAACACAGTGCACGGAATAATACTTACGGTCTATTTTATAAGTTTTGGGGTACGGGGGATTTGGCTCAGCACCTCACACAGGCCTTGGGATGCTCTGCCGCTGGGCTCCTAAACCCCGAATCTTTTCATGAGCTGTTCATGTGCCTCAACTGTGCGTGTGACTGTGTGTGTGTGTCGTGTGATGTAATAAATACCTCCTACCGTCGGGGTTGTCAACTCTCCAGAAGAGGCGTGTGACGTTTTGGGGTGACACTGAAGACAGCGTCTGGATTTTCTGTATATTTACATATTTCTAGAAAAATCAGCTCCTGTCCTATGAATGTAATGAAAATTTGTTGCTGAGCAAAGAACCAGGGTGGGCAGGAAGGCTGAGAACGGGCGCTTCCAGGCAGGGGCAGGGGGAAGGAAGAAGTCTCTGGAAGGTAGATGTGGTCTGTTTCTGAATCTTGGTCCATTTCGGATTTTGACATCAGGCTAAGTGACAGCCCTTCTCGAGTCTAGATTTGTTTTTAATTTTAATTATAGAAGTTACTAATAGGGTACTAGTACCTTATCAGATATATGTTTTCCAGATATTTTCCTCAAGTCTGTGGCTTTTTAAAAAATCAACTTTGTGATTATATTTTTTGGTTTTTTAATTTAAATTTTTATTGGTGCACACTTGCAGCACGCAGCGATTCATGCATCGTATGGCGGGGAGTCGGTGCATGCTCAGAACACATCTTTCTTCTTTTTTATCCCCTTCCCCCCATGTCTTGGTCCCCTCCCCCACCCGGTGGTCCCCTCCCCCTTTGCAGAAACTCTGCCCCGTCTTCGCTTTCTGGTCTTTGGTTTTGCGCGGTGACATTCGTGCACTGTGGGTCTCTTGTGTGCTGTTCCCGCCATGTCTGATGTGGTTCATCCTGCAGTCTCCTGCCTCCTTCTCCCGCAGATTCCATTCTTCGAAGACATCTGCCAGGGCATCAAGGCTGGTGATACGTGTGAGAAGCTGGTGGGCTACTCGGCAGTGTACCGTGTCTGCTTCGGCATGGCCTGCTTCTTCCTTGTCTTCTGCCTGCTCACCTTGGGGATCAACACCAGCAAGGGCTGCCGCGCCCACATCCACAATGGGTGCGTCCCTCATCCCGCCCTCCAGAGTTAGATCCTGGCCTGGAGACCAGAATGCTGTTCTTGGGCGGGGAGGATTTATTTCCCAGAGCAACACTGGCCCAGGTTGCTCCCCCGGGTGCATCGGTGTTTGCATAATAGGGTGGGGCTCGGGCCAGTCTAACTGGGGTCTCCAGCGGCTTCCTTCCATCTCCTCCTTATGGAGAGAACATCACCTGGGCAGGATGGGTGCTGCCGTGTAGGGGCCTCCATGCCTCTGGAGTGCCACTTCCATGTTTCCTCTCCTCCAGCTTCTGGTTCTTCAAGCTGCTGCTGCTGGGGGCCATGTGCTCTGGAGCCTTCTTCATCCCGGACCAGGAGACCTTCCTGAAAGGTGCGTCCACTGGGCTCTTTGGGGACCTGTGGGTTTCGTTTTTACCCTTGGTGAAGCTGTTCAGAGGGGTCGTCCCAGGCATCGTTGGTACCTTGAATGACTGATTGGCGGCTAAGAAAAATCTTAATTCTCCCTCCCCAGCACCCACGGTGCCCTCCCTGCACCAGCCCCAGCGCCTCCTTGCCTGTGCCCAGGAGCGGAGGGGCTGCGGGCACTCAGCGGCAGCTCCAAAGCCTGTTTGACCCCCGGGGAGACCCCAATCCCCTGAGCCGCACAGAATGCCCGCAGTAAGGGTTAGTTTCTGCTAGTTTCTCATGTGACTGTTAAGACTGTTCGTGAATATTCGGTTAATAACTTCGTACCCTGGCCCCGCTTTGTCCTGTGGTTCCATTAACCCAGCTCTCCACCCTGCACCCTTCTAGGACTGTTCAACACTGTTAAAAGAGCGAACGGCCTCAGGGAGAAGAGGACTGAAGTCCTCAGGCCTGCACTGGCTGTGTTAGAGCCAGGCCATCACCAGGGCACCAGGGTCACCCAGCGGCAGGGCTCCCTCGTGGAGGCCCTGCCCTGCCATCGGGGTCTCACTCCCTTCCGTCCTTGGTTGTCGGAGCCGTGGTTTTCTAGAGATGCGTGTTTGGCTTGGATGCTGTGGGTCTGGTGTAGTTTGTGACTTGTGCTTGCTAGTGTGTCTGGCACGGAGGGCAGGTCCCAACCAGGCAGCCAGGGTTTGTCCCAGTCGTGCAGTGGACAGCCCTGTGGGACTGGGACTTCACTGGCGGTCTGTGGGAGCCCTGGCGAGGGGTGTGGGTCTTAGTGGTGACACCGGTTCCTCTCTCCTGTGCCCACCCTGGCTGCCGCGTGCCTCTCACGTTCCTCTCTCCTGTGCCCACCCTGGCTGCCACGTGCCTCTCACCCGCTCTCCTGCAGTCTGGCGCTATGTGGGTGCTGTCGGAGGCTTCCTGTTCATAGTCATCCAGCTGCTGCTCATGGTAGAGTTCGCGCACAAGTGGAACAAGAACTGGTAGGTGCTTTCTGGCAGGCGCTGGCGCTGAGGGTGGAGTTCACGGTGGGATCCTGGCTGGTGGGATTAAAGGAAAAGCATACTGAAGTACCTTGGAACTGGAGATTCTTTCAGCAAAGAGAATGAGATAGAGCCGGGCTTGGTGTATCTGTAACCCTTACTCGGGAGGCTGAGGCAGAAAGGTCTTGAATTCAGGAGTAATGTGAGCAACTGAAAGAGAGCTGTCTCAAAATAAAATTGAAAAAAAAAAAGCGAGCAGGGAATGTAGCTCAGTGGTAGAGTGCTTGTGTGAGGTCCCAGAATCAATCCCTAGTCCTGTGAAGGAAAAGATGATGAAATGGACTTCTCATCTTTTTAATTTATTTATGATTTGTTTTTCTTACCTTCTCATGGAGGAAAAGAATCATTTGCTACTAAGCTCTGTTGCCCTAACTTAGCCATCTGTACTGATCCTGAAACCCAAACTCTTAGCTGAGTGTGGCAGCTCGTACCTATAATCTCAGGACCCTGGGAACTGAGGCAGGAGGATCAAAAGTTTGTGTCCGCTCTGGGTAACTTAGCAACTTAAGAGACCTTGTCTCAAAATTTTAAAAAAAAAGAACTATTTTTTATAGAACGGCTGGGGGTGTAGCCCCGTACAGTGCAGAGGACCTGAGTTCAATCCCACTCACAACCATGGGCTAAAAGAAAAAGTCCATCAACTCTAAGTTCCTTGAAAGTAGAATTCACACTGCACATCCAGTGGGAGATGCTGGTTAATGGCTAGGGTTTTCCATTTTCGGGCTGAGCATCACTGAGGAAGTGAAAGCCAGAGAGCCGTCAGCTCTGAGCTCGGGTTCCGGGTGGCTCTGATCCTAGGCAAGGCTTGTCTCAGCTCTGTCTCGATTTCTTCACTGTATAATAAATAGTTCCTCGTGGTGCCCGTAAGATTTTCATGGGCATCTTCTCTTTTACTGTGTTCTGAATCTTGAAGAAAACAAACAAGTGCCCTTTGCATGTTATCTTGGCTGTGACAAAACACTACCCCAGTTCTCCCAGTACTTTTTATTTTCATTATATTCTTCATCTTGGTAGTTGTGCTTTGCTTCTGCTTTTGTTTTTTGAAAATTAAATAGTGAAATGCAGTTACATTTGCTGGGATGTACAAGTAAAAGACAGTAGTGTTTGTTATTTTGTTACATAGTAAATATTGGATTAAACACAGCCAAATAGGACCAATTTTTAAAATGTTTACATTTAGTAGTCAATCAAAGAGCACTACTGCCATCCATCCTGTGGGCTTTCAGGGCTTATCGAATCTTGGTCATTTTTACTCTCTTCCTCCTCTGGATTTCCTTTCAATGTGCAAGTCTCCTTCAAGATTTCCTGATACTGCCAGGCATGGTGGTGCATGCTGGTAATACTACTCTCAGGAGGCTGAGGCAGGAGGATCATTGTTAGTTCAAGGCCAGCCTGGACTACATAGTGAGTCCCTGTCTCAGAACAAAACAAAACAAAACAAACAAACAAACAAAAAACCAAAGCAGGCAAAGGGAAGATTTCCTGATATTATTCCAGAGAAGCGGGGCTCCTGCAGCTCCCCTGAGCACGTTCCTGCTTCTTTGCTGGGAAGGTGGGCCCTGCCCTGCAGTGAGGACTGCAGCAGCCCGGACTTCGCAGGGCACAGAGCCTCACTGGCATCGCCCCTCATGGTGCCAGCCCTGGTGAGTGGGGAGCAAGTGTGAAGCCCAGGGGCACTGAGTCAGGAGAATGAATCCTCCCAGCCCAGCCGGAACCAGGAGTCTCAGATACATGCGGGGCCATCTCCCCAGGACAGAGCCTGATCGTTGCTGGGGGTCTTGGGACAGTAGTTTGGTGGCCGGCCAAGGCTGGCGGAGCTTAGAGGTCGAGGTGGCCCTGACTGGTCTGTGTCTTCTCTCTCTCTTGTCCTCCTCCTCTACCGCCCCCTGGGAAACAGGCACGCCGGCACGGCCAGCAACAAGCTGTGGTACGCGTCCCTGTCGCTGGTCACCCTGGTCATGTACTCCATCGCCACTGGAGGTCTGGTGCTCATGGCAGTGTTCTACACCCGGCTGGAGGGCTGCACGCAGAACAAGATCTTCCTGGGCGTGAACGGGGGCCTGTGCCTGCTCATCTCCGCGGCTGCCATCTCCCCCTGCGTCCAGGACCGTAAGCGTCCTCCCCATCTCCTGTGTGTGTGGACAGTCGCATTCGGGACAGTGTGCAGTCAGAGGGGGATGGTACTTCCTGTGCCTGGCTGGGCTGGAGGTGACAGCCATGCTTGCTGGGGGACTCGAAGCCCTGTGCTGGCTGGACCTGGTTCCTAACGGGGAGGATGGGGCGGCCTGGACCTCCCGGAGGGTCTGGAAGAGACTGGGCCTGTTGGCTTTCACGTAGGGCTGGACCTAAGTCCTGGGACAGTGCCATGGCATGGGCAGCGGGAAGCAGGAGAGGCGGCCAGCAGCAGCCAGCCAGAGAGACTCTGGCTCCCGAGGAGCCCATCTGAGTGGGGTTCTCCAAAGCCAGGAAGGAGGCAACTGGCTGTGGGGTCTGAGTTGTAGATAGGCGACTGGGGCATCACGGCCCTTGGTGCGCTGCCACTGTCCCCAGCCTGGCATGTCCTGTGCTGCAGGTGAATCCCGTGGCCTGTCCTTTGGAATTCTAGGTAGGGAAAGAGAATCAAGGTGACGCCAGCAGGGCCCCTTGGAGCCTTCCTGACATGATGGGTTAGTGAGTCCTGAGATGGGACTGTCCAGTGCTGCCCTGGACAGCATGTGTACGCTCCCAGCAATCCCAGCTCCCATCAGGGCAGTGAGACAGGTGAATGACAGCCTTGTGCTGTGTTCGGACAGGCAGCCAGCATCAGGGTGCTGTCCAGGACCAGAACATTTCCAGGTCTGAAAGTTGCAAGCCCATCACCAAACCGAGATGGTATCCCCCACCAAAGCTGAGGCCCTTGGTCTTCCAGTCCAGCTCCCCTGGGCATCAGTACTCCACATGGGAACAGGCGTGACTTAAGCGTTGGGCTTCCTGCCCCTGGGTGCTGAGCTCAGGCTGGCTTCTGGGCGAGAAGCTGCATTGTAAGAGTCTGTTCGTAGACTTTCGTGGGTGATTAAAAGTTAATGATGATAATTTTGGACATGAATTAACCAGGAGGGAAGACTGAACCCTTTCCTGTAGTTGATCACGGGGTTACAAATTTCACCAAGCCGGGCGTGGTGGCACGCGCCTGTAATCCCAGCACTCGGGAGGCTGAGACAGGAGGATCGCCACGAGTTCAAGGCCAGCCTAAACTATATGGTGAGTTCAAGGCCAGCCTGACCTACAGAGCAAGACCCTGTCTCAAAAACCCCAAAAATAAAATACGGAAGAAAGGAAGTCTCGTCAAAAGGTTTAAGAAATCCCTTCTGTTCTGGAGCCTCTAAATGATTGTACCTGTGCATTTAATTTAGCTGTTGTAACAGCTTTTCTGGTGGGTCCCGAGCCCTGTAGCTCCTTGCTTTAGCCTGGACTGGCTCTGACCTGCATGTGCACGGCTGGGACCTTGCCTGCTGAAAGGTGGCAGCATGTCTGTGCCACCATGGACTCTCAGTGTCCCCTGACCTTGTGGACTCCAGAGGACAAGCCCTACACAGTCTGTCCACTCATTTACCCGCTACGATGCTGTGTAGCTGAGAGAAAAGGGGTAAATGTTTTCCTGACCTTGGGGCTTGAGCTCAGAGAAATCTCAGAGAAATTGTGAATCTCAGAGAAACCCGTGTGTGAGGATAGCAGTCATCTGATTGTGGCATCTAAAATAGCGGGATGTAGCTAGAGTTAGTGGTGCAGACCTGTAATCCTGGTGCTCTGGGAGGCTGAGGCAGGAGGATCCTCACAAGTTTGAGGCCAGCCTGGGCTACTTAGCAAGACTGGGTCAACTGAAACCAAACCAAATCAGTGCTCAGCTAGTGTCTGACTCCCTTCCCATCAGTTTTAGTTCTGTTTAAGAAACACATTATGCAGCTGTTTTCTCTCCTAGAAGTGTGCCCACATGTCCAGAGTGGTTGTGCGGGGCGTGGGGAGCTGAAAGCTGACCTTTGTCCCCCGTGTCTTCCAGGACAGCCCCACTCCGGGCTGCTGCAGTCAGGGCTCATCAGTTGCTACGTGACCTACCTGACTCTCTCGGCACTGTCCAGCAAGCCCGGGGACGTGGGTGAGTGGCCAAGGGCGGGCAGGCAGGTGGACAGGCAGCGTGATGCTGGCTTCCAGTGGGGCGAGCTGGGGTGGGCAGTGGTGGACTCAACACAAGAGGAGAGATCTAGTAGCACAGAGTCCCTGCTGGGTGCGAAGACAGAAGCCCTCGCTGCGGTTTGAGGCTCGGGTTTGCTATTAGCCCTTCTCTGCTGGCTTGGCAGGGAGCTGTTGGGTTGGGGCTTTGCTGTTTTGTTTTCCTTTGGGTACTGATTTTATTTTCCTTAGACAGCTTCTCTGGTGTGGCAGAGAAAGTGGGACACAAGGGCAAGCGAAGCAGCAGACAGGATGCAGAGTCAGACCCAGCCCTTGCTGGCGGGGTGATCCCAGACTGCGCTTTGTAAATGGCATTTGCTTACAGTGGTCAGCTTGCGGCTTGGAGTCAGGCTGCCTGGTTTGGGGCCTGGGTCTTCAGAGTGGATCCATTCATTCATTGGTTCGTTCCTCAGCAGGGTCTTGCTCTGTGAGTTTAGGCTGTCCATGATTTCAGTGTGTAGGCCAGGCTGGCCTCAAACTCACAGCGATCCCCCTGCCTCAGCCTCCAGTGCGTGTGGGTTACAGTGTGCAGGCCTCCCCTGGCTGGGGTGGGTATAGGATGCAGTCTGAAGTCTGACTCAGCTGCCTACCTGTGCCTGGGGATGCTGTGCAGGTGAGCTGATCATTGTACAGTTGCTGTGATTAGTTGGAAGGGTTTAAGCTGTAATGGCACGATTGTCTTCTAAGTGTTATTTGCCAGTACAAGAAAAAAAATCCGTTTGATTTCCAGCTCATTCTCTCTCGTTCATGTTGCTTTTGTGCTGTGTGTATACATGCGCACGCACACACACACACACACACCCCTAAGAATGTGTGACTGTATTTTTGGGAATATTTGATCTTGTGTAAGTTAAGTAATGTGACTTTAGAAAATTGAAGTTCAAATTTAGGAAATAAATTGTAATATTTGAAGGTTTTTAAAGCAGGGAGATCAGTGTGAGTTTGAGGTTGGCCTGGGCTGAGTCCAAGGCCAGCCTCAATTACAGAGAGAGATCCTGTGTCAAAAAAGAAAATGCTTTTGAAGGTTTCTACTCTTTATGGGTGCTGTCAGTTTTTCCCCAGAACTGGGGGTCCAACCCATGTTCTTTACACTGAGCTACATCCCAGGCCTTTTTATTCTTGATCTTGAGACAGGCTCTCAAGTTGCTTGGCTGTTTTGAACTTGTGATTCTCCTGTTTCAGTCTCCTAGAGAGCTGGGATTATAGGCATGTGCTAACACATGGGCTGGGTCTTGTCTTGGTAGCTGTTTATAATGGGAAGGGTTATAAGTTTTTGAGGTTTTATAGTAGGTATAGCCTGTCCTGGACTCAATTTTTAAAAACAGCCCCATCTTGACCTTCTATTTATTTAAATCCTCTTTAAGACCTCCTTTTATGTTTATATATTAGTCTGTGGTTTTAACTTAATGGGGGTTTTATTTATAGAATATATATTTTTAACAGCAAATATCACATAAAATAGGGAAACACGTTGACTTTTAGTTTCAGGTGGTCTACTTAAATAGAGAAGTCCATTCTGTTCGTTGTTTTGAAAGTCTTTTTCCTTTGGCCTAAGAACAAAGATTACTTTTTAAAACCACAGCACACCCTTGTATTTACCACTTTGAGTGTAAATACTGGTAGTAATTTTAGTTTAATTTTAGACGGAATGTCTGTGTTTGTTGAGTGGTTTTTAGGATGTTATTTTATGTGTGTGTTCCTTATTTTGGGGTCCAGTTGTCAGTCACACCTAACTTGGGTGTTCAGAGTTGACCAAAGACACCAGTTTAGACCAAAAGTAAATTACCCTGATGGGAAAGTTACAGAAATTACAATGTTACAGAAATCTTCATAGGAAGCCTTCTCAGAGTTTGTGAAACAGTCAGGAGCTCCTGAGTGTAGACAGTGAGTCCTCTACTCCAGCCTGACTTCCCTCCCTGGCCAGGAGAGAACCAGGCGCTGTCACACTGCCCCTCTGGGTGTTTGTTGATTGACTCAGCACCCGGGGGTCCCTGCAGCCTGTTCCTCTCTCCGCAGAGGTTGCCAAACCCAGTGAGAAAATGGATTTAAGTGTTCTTTTTAGCATTGCTTGAATAATCTCCCAAAGCGCTCCTAATTCCTGGGATTGTCACCCCTCAGCCCTAACCTGCAAGATGAGGCCCTTTTTGTTCCAAGATGGGGGTCTCATGGTACAGTCCACACTGGCCCTTAGACTTGCAGTGATCCTCCTGCCTCAGCCTCCCGAGTGCTGTGTCTTGTTTTTTATATTTTCTGACCTGTAGGTCTTGTTCCCAGTGTGTGCTGGTGTGGGAGAAGGGTGCTTTGAAGCCACAGAACCAGGGTCTGTGTAGATGCGCACAGTGGGGAGCTGGGCTGCTGGGGTGCAAGTCCCAGTTGTAAGGAGCCCCTGAAGCCCCCTAGCAGTGCCCCTGGGGACCTTGGTGGCCACTCTCATGGCACCATGGTGTTTTGTTTTCTGCCAAGTGCTGGACACGCATGGGAAGAACGTGACGATCTGCGTGCCTGACTTCGGCCAGAACCTGTACCCGGACGAGAACCTGGTGACCTGGCTGGGCACGGGTCTGCTCATTGCCTGCATCCTGTACTCCTGGTGAGTTGGCCTGCACGCCAGCCAGGCCGTAGCCTTGAGAGGGGCTGGTGACCATGCCTGTCTTTCCGCTGCCCTGGGGTGCAGCAGAGCCCTGGGAGGAGAGGGTGTGGCTCCTAGCAGGGGCTGTGGTGGGGTCTGGGGCTGTTCAATCCCTGCAAGGGCTCAGCACACAGGGTTCCTTAACGCTGTGGCTGCCTGGATCATGGGGACAGAGAGAGAGGAGTGCCAGAGCTCCAACCCTGCCGGGACCCCCAAAGGTGGCTGCTGTGCTGCAGCCGAGTGGCAGAAAGCAGGGTACTGTCAGGACAGGAACCCGGGGTTGGGCAGTGGAGGTGGGGAGGGGGGCAGACCACATATGTGGGTCCCAGGTGCCAGGCAGCTGCTCCACTCTGCTTGCAGGAGGCTGCAGAGCTGCTGGAGAGAGACGTAGGGGAACCACGTGGTCAGCCTCTCGCTCTGGACATGCCTGTTACTAACCATGAGGCCTCCTGTTAGGCAGGCAGCAGCTTCACCGTGGGGTCTCCCTCTGCGCCCCTCAGGACCTCAGAGGTTTGACCTGCCCTGGACGTGGTACCAACCTCCCACTGCTGGAACCCCGCAGTCCTGGCAAGGGCAGCACCTGTTCACAGATGCCTTCCACAAAAGGGGTGCTGCTCTGTCACTAGTGGTGCCCACGACCTGCACCCTGCAGTTGGTTGGCCTAGAGTCACGTGCTAGGACAACAAGAGGGAAAATCAGTTTCTAGCATTTTCATGGCACAGTCTCCTGGTCAAACTGGTGAGGCCATCACGGCCACCTTCTGAGAAGTACTCACTGGTCACTGGGTACTGCTGTTCGTGGGGCAGCGAGCAAGGGCCCCCTGCAGGTGCAGGTGCAGGTGCAGGTGCAGGTGCAGGTGCAGGTCAGCAGGCTTCGGCAGTGAACTGACAAGTCCCCTGAGATCTTGAACCCAGATTCTTGGCTCCTCTCCTTCCCCTCTTTTTTCCTTTTATCACTCAGAGACTCTTTTTTACTGAGATACAAGCCCCTCCGATTCTTCTTCTTTCTTTTTGTGTCTTTTTGAGACAGGGTCTCACTATTCAGTTCAGACTGGCCTTGAGCTCACTTTTTAACTCAGGCTGGTCTTATATTTACCATGATCCTTTTGCCTCAGCCTCCCAAGTGCTGGGATGACAGGCATGTGCCACCACACCTGGCATGTGGAGAGTCGCCTTTGAGTCGCCCTGTGTCTACCCTCGTGTGAGAAGTCAGAGGGGAAGTGTAGTCCCTGGGAATGGAGGCTGGTGGGCCCAGTCTGATGTTCCTGGTAGATGTCAGGGGTCAGAGCTGTTTCCAGTCTGTCCAAGGCCGATGTGTGGCCATTGGGTGCTGGTAATGACGCAGCACACGGCAGTGGCCAGGGAACCCCAGAGAAGAAGGCAGCTTTGTGAGGGAGCCGAGCACACCTAGGCCGCTGGGGAGGTGCCGGGGTGTGTGTCTCCCTGCTGGGACTTGGGGCCCGAGATGGATGTTCCCTACTCACCTCTTGCAGCCTCGTGGGGAAGTGAGCACAGATTGGGGCCTTGCAGCAGGGAACCGCTGGGCCAGGTGCTGGCCCAGTGTGGGTTCCAGTTTTTATTTTCCAACCCGGCTTCACAAGAAAAGGAAGTTGGATGATGTGACAAAAAGTGGCCATGTTGTTGGGGATGTAGCCCAGTGGTGCAGCACCTGCCTGGTGCATGTGAAGTTGTGAGTTCAGTTGTCCATACCAAAAAAAAAAATTTAAAAGGAGTGGCTGCGTTGTTTGGGCAGAAATAAAGACACTCAAGAAAGAGGACGCCAAGGGGCCTTCGGGGTCTCTGGGGACAGAGGAGACCAAGTCCCGAGACTTGCCAAGCAGTCGAGTCACGTGGTGATGAACGGTGATGAACTGGGGGTGTTGTAGCTCCCAGGTCGGTGTTTGGCTGCAGACTCCTCCCCGAGCTACTGAGTGTGTGGCCTTAATGCAGCAGGGGCAAAGCAGCTGTGATTTCCCATAGTTGTGATTCTGTTGGCTTCAAGTTCACATTGTTGGGCTAGGCAGGACTGGAGTCAAGGAGACACGGGTAATGTTTAAATTTTTAAGAATTTGTTATGGTAGAAGACACACTGTGGTGAACTCCTCAAAATCCTCCTCCCTGCTCTAAGCACACTTGTCCCATCGTCTGTGCCACTTTCTGCAGCAGGTCCGGGCGTCCTCTTTCCTGAGGGTCTTTAGTGCTGTCCCGGCTACTCTGATGTCCTGAGTTGATTGCAGACTGTTTCTCCTTCCTGGCCATTTTGACTTAGGAGAAGATCCAGAAGTTGCACAGTGCTGGGCCCAGTGAATAAGGTGTACAAGGATGAGGACAGAGTGTCATGTTTTTATGTGACAGAAATAGCAATAGAGTGATCAAAAAGGCAGTGAATGTCTAAATTACAAAGTGTATTATGGTTGTAGAAGACGTGTTGCCACTAATCACCTTCACAGTTCTTTCACTTTCATGGCATTCTTGGGAATGTGTTGTCTTGGTTACCTTTCTCTCATTGCTAGGACAGAATTCCCGACACCCAACATGAAGAGAAGAGAGGCTTATTTAGCTCACTGTTAGTGGAGGTTTCAGTCCATACTCAGCTAGCTCCAAAGCAGGGTGGCACAGCATTGGGCAACATTTCAAGGCAGCAGCTAGCAAAAGCAGCCAGAGCAAAACTGGGGAGAACAAGCCTCTTCCCCTCCTTTATAGTGTATGCAGGCCTCCAGGCAGGTGTAGCACTCATAAGGACTCTGTGCCCTCCTCCTGCAACGCTGAAGATCTTTACAAATAAGGACCCTAGCCCTTGCTGAGTCTCTCAGTTACACTACTAAACTTCTCAAGTTGACACATGTATAAACCATGAAGTGTCTTTTACTATAAGTTTTTAAAAATTTAAATATGTGCCTACCTTTCTGTTGCCTCTTTCACAAGGCGCTCTCCTCTAGTTTTGGGAACCCTTCTCCGGGCCTCCTTGGTGGAGCCTGTGGTCTTTCCTCCTGCCTCTCCCTGAACGGCTCAGAGCCGTGTCCTGCCTCCCGAAGCGGGCGTTGCTTCCTGCCTGGTCCCTGGCAGCTGTGCAGGGAGGAGGAGAGATTGCCAGCGTGGCCACACCGTGCTTTAGGGGGAGGACGGCATTGTGGACTGTTTCCTGGCTCCCATAAGAGGAAAAATAATACTTCAGTGTTGGGGCCATCTAGGAAAATGTCCCTGGAAGACAAAGCTGAAAAAGCTGTGAGTCTTTCTTTGGATGTTGAACAGTGTCCTAGTCAGAAGTGGGGCGCTCCCCAGAGTGAGTAGGCCTCGTGGTCCCAGGCTGGGATGGTGTCACCAGTGAGGGAACCCCAGAGAGGATTTTATTTTGCTGTGTGCTAAGCCTGCCAGCCAAAGGCTTCCTGCCTCTGCCTATGCCTCTGCCTCTGGGGCAGAGTGGCCTCCACTCCCAGCTCATCGTGGACTTGGACTCCCTTCTGGAGACATGAGTCACTCGATCCAAGGACAGCGGGGACCAGAGTGTCACACGAGGTTTTGGGTCACAGTGCTGTGGCCAGGGCAGGGAGGGTGAGACCAGGATTCCAGCTGTAGACGGAGAGCTCCAGCGTCACCGTCACCGAGCAGGTCCCTCTGCAATGATGTGGGAGAGGCTGGGCTGCAGTTTCTAAGGGAGGAAGGCAGGAGTCACGTTTGGGCATCCTTGTGACTGCAGGTGCTCATGGGGTCCGTGGGCAGGCAAGGTGGGAAACGTCCTGTGTACAGGCCACAAGCCTTGACCCCAGGCCCTTGGTGTCACCCTGCAGGAAGTGCTGGCTTTATGTAGGCCTTAGCCCAGAGTGGGGCTCTCGGTGCCGGGAGCTGTTTACAGCCACTGGCGCCATGCTGACCGCTGGACAGGTCCATGCTGCAGCTGCATACAGCGGGAACCTCCCATGTGTCCTGCATGGCGTGGGGAGAGTGCTGCATGGGGCGGAGCTGGTGTTGGCATCCCCAGCCAGCTTGGAGGGCACTGGGCAAGATCAGGTCCTTTCTCATGGCTGTGTCCCTGAGCTCAGCGCACAGCTGGCCAGTGCTGGGTTTGCTTGAAGCATCTTCGGAGCAGGTCTGTAGAGTCAGCTGGGGTCCTGAGCACTGCAGGCATTTCAGGTTTCGTAAAATGTTCCTGTGGTTTTGATGTTAGGAAGAAACAGGTGTGATAAAAATATGGCCAGTGTGTAAAGTTTTTTTATTATTATAACACTAAAAGTCCCATTGCCATGAAAGCTCCTCAATCCCCCTTTCACTTTGGACCCACTGGTCTCACACTGGTCTCCACAGCAGCTCTGGAGTCCTCTTTTCTGCTTATCTTTCATTGTGCTGTCCTGGCTGCCTCAGTGTCCTGAATCCATTCCAACTGTGTCCCTTTCCTGGTCACTGTGACTCTGGGGAGGAGCCGGAGGTTGTACCAGGCCAGACCTGATGAATGAGGTGGATGCGGACACAGCTGCCTTCCTGTGGGGCAGCGCTCAGCAGCAGCCCTCTCTCTGTTTTTGATCATGCTTCGTGAAGACCCTCGGGGAGGACCAGGACTCACAGAGCAGCAGGAACCATGGGGCGAGTGTGTTCAAAGCAAGGGGGAGGGTTTGAGGAGGACTCAGGCCACTGTGCCTTTCACTGTGGTAAGTTTTTAGAATTTAAACATCTGCCGTATGTTTTGATCACATTGGAAATAAGACTCCCACCAAATTGTCCGAGCCAGAAAGAATGCATGCAGTCCCTCAGCAGGCGGGGCTCAGCAAGGCACAGTGTAAGCTTTACTTTTGCAGAGGTGCAAGTGTGAGGGGCGGGCATGCAGGACAGCAGAGGTCGCCCTTCTGATCCCAGCACGGAGGAGCAGCTGACTCCCCCCACCCCCCCTCCCACCCCCCGCGGAACAAGTCACATCTGCAAACACTTCACCCTCCTCTTCCCCAAACTGAGGTTTATAGCGCTTTACCTTGCAGGCAGGGAGAACTTTTGGTGCACTGACTCCAGTGCAGTACATGTCCACGGGGTGCCATTACTGTGCCCACTGGTTACCTGTTGCAGTGGATGACCTTTATGTCTGTTGGGTTTCTGTTTCTGCTGCCTCCCTGGGCTCTCACACTGTTGGGGCCCTTCTCAGTGAGACTGCTCATGGGGCTGGGGGATAGAAGTGAAACCAGGCAGGACACTGCTCCGGCACCGTGGGTGGAGAGGCGCAAGCTACTGCTGAAAGCCAAGAAGGAGGCCCGAAGCGTCCTCCTCTTCCCTCAAACTTCTTTGTGTGCAAAGCTGTGAAAGGCTATCCATTCACCAAGGCACCAAGCCATGTGGGAGAACGGGGCAGAGAAGCTGCTCTCCGGAACAGCAGGGTCTCCCTGTTCCCCTCCCCTGCTCTCAGTCACTCCTGGAGGACTGTGTGGAGCCCAGTCCAGGGTGGATGTAGGGTGAGCGCTGTTCACTGTGTTTGGGAAAATGGTTAGGGTGGAAGGTGTGTTCCGAGTGTATGTTTTCAAGTTTTTCTAATTTTTCTATTTAAAAACCATGTGAGTCTGTGTTTGCAGTGCATGCTGACCACACTCCCGGGGGAGGTGGCGGTCAAGGTGCAAAGCACTTCTTAACCCTGGGCATAGTCCCCTCCCGTGCCCTTCCCTCCCCTCCCTCCATTGCTGTCTCCTTTCTGCTAGCCAAAGACCTGCCTCCCTGATTCCTGTTACCTTTTATTTTGCTTTTTAAATTATTTATGTTTTGGGTTTCTTGTGTAAGAGAAACTCACGTGATATTTACGCCATGTGTCTGATTTATGTCACTTAACATTCTGGTCCACTTTGCTATGGGTGATGCCAGGCTGTCCTCCTTCATGGCCGAGTCGTGCTCCATTGTTGTAAATGCCACATTCTCTTTATCTGGTCATCTGTTGGTGGACATTTTGATTCATAGTGGGTTAAGTCTGTGGGTGTGTTCTGGAGGGCCCCATACTGTTGTTCAAGCACCCTGTGAGCTCTCCCTAGAGCCTGGCCCGGTGATGGCTGGGCCCTGTGTCTCAGGTGCTGAGGCTCGCTGACCTCCTGTTTGTTTTCCAGCTTGACATCGACAACGAGGTCGAGTTCTGACGCCCTGCAGGGCCGATATGCAGCTCCGGAGCTGGAGGTGAGTGTGCCCTGTCTCTGCTGCCCGCTTCTTGGGGACCTCTGTGTCTGCTGGACCCGAGTTCCACGGCCTGGGCTTCTGCTGGGGCAGAGCAGAGCTGGGGCGGAGAAAAGGGGCACAGGCCTGAGTGTGGTATGGGGGTGGAATGAGCCAGCAGAGTTGCCTGGATTTCCAGTCCGCCCGTGGGTTCCTTGCTGCTGCCCCTGTGACCTGCTGACCTGTCACCTGCACCCTGCTCCGTCCTCTCCTGGGCACAGAGTGTGGGTTTTCCTCTTTTTTGTAACCTGTGGCCCATGCGTCTGTGTCGTGCCCACTACTGTGTGGTCTGCGGCAGCCACTTAGCAGGGGGAACTGTTAGATCCCAGCCCGCACCTCTGCCATCAGGTGATGTAGCCCTGTGTGCAGCATGGTGGACAGGTGGGTGTGGTACACACTTGCAGTTGGAGCACTGGGAGGCTGAGGCAGGAGGATCACAAATTGGAGCCCAGCTTGGGCAGCTTAGTGACAAAGGGGACCCTGTCTCCAAAAATAAAAAGAAAAGGGCTGGGATGCAGCTCAATGCAGGTCCCCAGGCCCAGTCCCAGCACCACTAATAACAATGGTGGATGGGGCGCTTCTGTTCAGCAATGCGGCCCTTCTGCAAATGCAGAGAGTGAGGGTGGTCAGCAGACACCTGCTTTTCCTACCATGTGGCAGTCTTGTGGGGTCTCATGGTCGTCCACTAGCGTAACCAAAGGCTCAGCCCGACTCAGGAGTGTGAGGCCAGTTCCATGGCAGCTGGGCTTCCCGGGCTGCAGCCTGGGCACTCCTTGGTGACTTCACAGGGTGCTTGGTGCTCATGGAGCCGAGAGAGCTGCTGGTCTCCGGGAAGAGGGGAGAAGACAGTGACACCTTGAGGGATTAGTTACCAGGACGCTGACACAGTGGCCCAAGCCAGTGTCCCCAGCCTTGCCACCATCCTTTCTGGCATGGCACTGGCTGCCCCCTAACAGCTTTCCTGGGTGCAGAGCCCCAGGGGTGCCTCTGGAGCCGCAGCTGGGTGAGGGGAGACTGTGGCTCCCATGAGGGCTCCTGGTATCCTGGCTGGTGTCATCCCAGCTGTCTGGCCCTTGCACAGGTCACTGCCCAGTGTCCAGCAAGAGTGGTCTCTCCCAGTAGGTATCTGGCCCTGTGGCCCCACACAGCCACTGCACAGGCTGTAGCATGGGCTCAGTGACCCCCTGTGCCCTGTGTCAGGCTCCAAGCAGTGAGCATTGGAGTGGGCTGGAGGGGGTGTTGCTCTGTCTCTCTGAGCTCTTCCTCCTCCCCGCTGTGGCCCCCAAGGCTCACCCGGGAAAGACAGGGTGCGTGCTATCTTGGGGCGACTTAGGCTTCCATGGGTCAAGGATCTCAGAGCCCTGCATGTGGGGTACCAGGGAAGGAGCAAAGCAATAAGGGCTCTGTCACATCCTTGCTGTGCAGGAGGGAATGGGGCTCGGGGTATCTAAGGAGACGGGGACCAAGCTGCACATCTTCTGCCTGGGCTCCGTTTTTCCCTGCTCGGATTCCTTTGTGGGCACTGGCAAGGCCTCAGGGCCCCTGGTTCACCTTGGCCCACAAAGTGTCTCCACATTTATCAGTGCCATCTGCAGTAACCTCTCAGTCACAGCCTCGCTCTTTTCAGGACCTTTGCTGTTCTGAGGAGCAAACGTCCTGAAAAGAGTGAGGCTGTGACTGAGAGGGATGGGGCCGCTCCAGAGGAAGGCCCTGTGTCCCTCTGCCTGTAGGCCATGGCCGGCCACTGGGTTTGCTTTCTTTCTAATCCATGTCCCTCATGAGGCAGCACAGTGTCACACTCCTTGCAGGCCACATGCGCCTAACACAGCTCCTCCCTGCACTCTATCTCCTGGTCCCTTCCATTTGCAAAATCCATCTCCAGCTTCCTTCCCTTGCCTTTCATTTGCTCTTTACTGAGCATCCTGTGCCCAGTCTCTCGGCACCTCCAGCCCCCTGTCCCATGCTGAGTGGTAATGGCCCAGGTTTGTCCTCTGTGTGTGTCCCAGCTCTGTCGTTGAGCTCTGTCCTGTGGTGATTTAAGGCTGTGACTCCTGCCCCAGAAGAGAGCAGCAGGAGGGACTGAGTGTCATTTGCTGGGTTTCAGCCCAAGCCCTACAGAAGTGGAAACTGAGGCAGGATGTGCCCTGGGATGTTTCTCAGACTCTGCACACAGGAAGATGGAGGGGAGGCAGGGTGGGCGAGGCAGGGTGGCTGACAGGCCGAAGCCTGCCAGCCCCGGGTGCCTCTCAGGGTCCTGTGTCTGCCCACCGGTGGCCACTCGGCGAGACCTTGAGGGATGAGTGTGGCCGGGAGGCAGCAAGAAGCTGCCGAGGCGGCGCCTGACTTGGCCTTTGTCCTGCAGGTGGCTCGTTGCTGCTTCTGCTTCGGCAACGACGTCGTGGAGGGTGAGTGGGACATGGACTGTGGAGGGGCCGCTGCAGCCTGGTGGGCGTGGGAGGTATGGGGGCTCTTCTGTGAGCAGGGCCGGTTCACTGCTCCCTCCTAAATCCTCCTGGACTCTGGGCCGCCTGGTGTGGTTTGCTCCTGTATATGGGGGGCACGCATGGGTGTGCACGGTGCGGGGTTGAGTGTGTGTTTGTGTGTGTGTGAGGGTGCTGGGCACACCTTCACTGCTCCCTGCCACCCGCAGACCCCGAGGAGCAGCCGGCGGGGAAGAAGGCCCGGCGTGTCCTCTACGACGAGAAGAAGGGCACGGTGTACAGCTACCCTTACTTCCATGCTGTGTTCCTGCTGGCCTCGCTCTACATGATGATGACCCTCACCAACTGGTTCCAGTGAGTGGACTTTGTGTGCGGGGCCCCACGCCGGGATGGTCCTGGCGGTGCCGGTCACAGGTCTGCCCTGGAGGTGACCAGGCTGTCCCACCAGGCCTGCTGCCCACGCGCAGTCTTGGCAGCAGGTGGTGTGGGCTTCTGTTTGTGTTGCTGGAGTGAACCCAGGGGATCTCGGCCACTGAGCGACTTCCCCAGTGCTTTGTATTTATTTTTTATTTTAACATGGGATCTTGCTAAATTGCCTAGGCCAACCTTGAACTTGAGATCCTCCTGCCTCAGCTTGCCCAGTGGCTGGGTTTAGAGGTACACAGCACCACACCCAGGCTCCAGGCTGGGGTTTTAGTCTTAGATTTTTTCTTTTGTTTCATTTTTTGTTTTTTGAGTTGTGGCTTTAGTAGACAGCTCAGGCTACCCTCAAACGCATGCATGGTTCTCCTGCCTCAGCCTCCGATAGCAGGCTCCATGGAGCACCTTTCCGGGAGTAGAAGCCAGTGGTGATCACCACAGCTCTGAGGATGGGAAGGTCCTGGAGTACAGGGGCAGAGCGCAAGCTACAGCATCAAAAACAACAAAAATAAATGCCCTGTTACACCAGAATGGCAGCTGGAGAACACAGTGGAGGGATGGAGGAACAGTGATCCTTTTTAAGAAAGAAAAATACCCTCCTGTGTTTCTTTCTTCTGTGATTTTGTGTGTGTGTGTTGCACTGCTGGGAACCAAACCCAGGGCCCCACGTGTGCCAGGCACGTGCTCCCCACTGAGTCACACAGCGGCCCTTTTTCTGTTTTTGAAGTTAGTTGTACATAACAGGCTTGGCTTCCCCATCACTATGGACAGAGGTATACCTTTTTTTTGTTGTTGGTTTTGTACTGGGGATCAACTCAGGACCTCGTGCTTGCCAGGCAGGCCTTAAGCCACTGGACTAAATCCCCGGCCAGAGTCATACTTTCATACAGATCCAAAGTTTCCTTTTTCCAGAGCTTTTGTCAGTCCGCATCTGCAGCACACAGTGGTCCATTGCCCTGGAGCTGCTGCACGCCCTCGACACACCTGCACTTCCCTTCCTCCGGCCCTTCTCCTCCATCTCTGATCCCCTTCCCTTTTTCAGAAAGTCTGTGTCCCCACTTCCTCTTTTTTGTCTTTTCTGTTACCTTTGTTTATGCTTTGAGTTTCTCCACCAAGAGAAACCACGTGACATCAGCCTCGCGTGTCCAATTCATTTCACTTAATGCCATGGCCTCCAGGTGCATCTGAGTTTATCTTTCTCTGTGGATCCAGAGTTTCACTTGCACCCTGACTTGTATTCGAATGATCTAGACAGATGAAATCTGTTATCCGGCACCTATTCCAGTGTCTCCTGTGTGCTGCCCTGTTGCAGGTGACAGGGTGTCAGGGTGGTGGGAGAGACAGAAAGTGTAGGACAGGGCAATATGGGCTGAGAGTGGCGACCTCAGACCCATTCAGGGAAAGGCTTCTCCGAGGGGTTCCCCAGAAGGGGGACCAGCGAGGGGACTTGTCGTGCTTCCCTGTGGTACCTGGGAAATTCCAGAGGAGGCGTGAGAAGTTTAGGAGAGGACACAGGGAGCTGTGGTCCCCAAGACAGACGGCAGCAGATGCTGCTGAGGATGCGGAGAGACCGGACCCCTCTTCCGCGCTGCAGGGAAGTAGAAGGAGGCTGCTCTGGAAAACAGCTTGGTGGACCCTGGGACGTTAAACAGAGTTAAAGCAGGAGCCAGGGCTCTACCCCTCAGCTTATCTGAGACCAGAAGAAAGATCTGTATGCAGAATATCAGACAGTGCTCGTGGCCACATCATTAGCCATAGCCAGAAAGTGGCACCGTGGTGCCCTCGGCTGATAGATGCGTAAACTAGAGCTGTATAGGAACCGATCATTCGGAAGTAAAGAGTGAAATCCAGAATGCTCGGAAATCTGACACGGCAGTCAAAGAGCTTCCCATTTTGAAACATTTCAGGTTTGGGATTTGTGGGTGAGGCATGCACCCCCTTTGGGGTGGTAATGTTCATGCAGTTGTTCCAACATCTGAAGAACTTGTGGTCCCAAGCATTTTGGACCCTGGGTCCTCACCCTGTTGGGATCCAAGCTTCAGTGTGGGAGGGCTGGAGAATACGGGGAGAGCAAAGGCGGGCAGTCAGTGGGGCCAGGAAGGCGCTGGCTGCCCAGAGGGTGCCGGGGTGGGGTGGCTCGAGCACAGTGCGCGGAGACAGGAGCATGGGTGGGGTGTGCATTCTGCAGTGACCACAGTGGTCATCATAGGAGCCCGTAAATGTATCAAAAGCCAGGGAATTGCACATTTTGAGTGGGTGTGACTTACCTCTTCACTGAGTCTCTGGAGAAGAAAGACTGGTGGGGGTGGCGGCTCCCCCTGTGGTCTCCCTGCCCTGACTGCACTGTACGTTGTGTCCCCACAGCTATGAAGGCGCCAGCATCCACACCTTCTTCCGGGAGAGCTGGTCTGTCTTCTGGGTCAAGATGGCCTCATGCTGGACGTGCGTGCTGCTGTACCTGTGGACCCTGGTGGCGCCTCTCTGCTGTCCCACTCGACAGTTCTCTGTGTGACACAGCTCCGGCCTGCTGACGGCAGGCATATTGAGGCTTTCAGTGGCTCCTGAGCCCCGAGAGAAGCCAGCACCTCTTGCCTGTTTTAAGTGTGATCAGAAAGCTCTCAGGAAGCACAGCCTGTTCTGTCAAGCTTTTTAATTCACACATTAAACAGAAACTGCTGTTCGTCTAAAGGGATTTGGAAAGTCCAGCCACAGCGATGTGGGGGATACACGTGTGTATGTGCAGACGTCTTGCCCAGAAAGTGGGTAGATGCCGTGCGATTTTCCTGGGGTGCATTTTTACCTAACCAGAATTTGGGGCTCGCAGCTTTTCATAGGGATAAGATCACCTCATTGGCCTGACGTTCATGTCTTTGGTATAAAAGAGTCCCCAGCTCCTAAGACCCATCCTTGCTTTTCCTCCCCTTGCCTATTCTCTGGTCCTCGAGGTCCCATCCTCTGCCCCAGTATTTAGGGGGCTGAGAGGGAGTGCCTGCCTTCCACTCGCCCTCAGAGCCCCGTCCCAGAGGGACTGCGATGCTGGCAGTCGCAGCCACCCCTCGGCACCTTCCTCCTCCTCCTTCTGACCCCTGTCAGAATGTGAAAAGCACAATTCACCATCTCTCCCTGTGGTCACCTCTGTTTCTTCCCAGCTTATGATGGGAATTGCGCTTAGCTGGGGTGGTGGGCACTGTTTGCTGGGTGTCTGCAACGAGGGCTGCATTTCCTTTTTGTATTTGCTGTGATAATAGCACCCTAGGGCCCGGACCTACACCTGCCACAGCCCTGCAGGGCTCAGGGCTTCTCCTCAGCCTCCCTGGCCTCCAGGCCTGTGAAATGGAGCCAGGGCAGAACTTTGGCCTCCGGGGCTGTCCCTGGCTCCCCTTTGTGATTCCTGTGGGGTGGCGGGGGAGGGGGCCCAGCCGGTCTGCAGGGGCGGCTGCCAGGCAGGTGGCTATTGGAGGTGACTGAGCACAGGTGTAGAATGGGGGTGGGGGGGGTTGGGGGGGCTGTCAGTGACTTCCCTGGAAGTTCCCAGAGTCCATGCTTGTGGAGGGAAGGACATCAGCAGCCATGAGGGTGAGCGAGTCCAGCATCTGTGTCCTTGGGCAGGAATGAGGGTCCCACAGCCCAAATCCGTAGGGCCCCAGGTGGTGTGGGGGAGGCAGGGCTTCCTGAGGATGCTTCCCACAGGTTGCAGCCTAGATGGCTGCGTGACGCCCTCTGTAGCAATTGGGCAGAACTAGGGTGCTCCTGCTGTCATGTTGAGGGCCATCAGATCCTTCCTCACTCCCTCACTTGCCCGTGCCCCGGGATGCCAGGGCGTTCTCCCTCCAGCTGTCCTAGGAACCGAGCTGGGCCTGGGAGGGCAGGCTGCATGGACACGGTAGCCCTGGGGACAGCAGCGGGGGTTTCGGGTGAGCTGAGGTTGCCTTTAGCCAATGTGGAAGAAGAGCTGGCAGTGTCACTGTCTCCGTCACTGTCCAGCAGAGGTCTTGACTTGTCCTCCTCATGGGCCTCAGCCACATGCCCTGGCCCCCTCCCCTGCAGAAAGCAGCTCAGGGAAACACAGGTGACCGAGCCACCCCCAGAATCTTCCCCTGGTCCAGGCCTAGCCCGTTCTCCAGTAGGGAACATTGTGCCCTTCACTGGATTCCACTCAACTATGGTTCACAGGGTCATTGGGCCACAGCAGTGCATGCCGTGGGCAGTGAGTCCACGCTCACAGGATTAGGAATCACCCTCCTGGGTGACCTGTGACCTAGGGAACTGGAAAATCATGCCAGTTGCTTGGAGCTGTGATAACAGAGGTGTTAAGTTAATGAACTCATGGTTGCTTCTCTAACCAACAGCCTTGGCTTCCTGCAAGGCTTTGTAGCAGGTGTTTGAAGTATGTCTCCCAGGCCACGGACAGACTCCTTGAGGGAGTTTCAGGCTCTCCCTATGTCTCCTCTTGGCCGCTTCTTCCTCAGGGGGACCCTTGGGCAGAGGAAGTGTCACTGTCCCAAGTCCCCTGCCTGGAGGCCCAGGTCCATCCTGACCTCTGGGACCGCATGTCCTCAGTGCTGGGCTGTGAGGGTCTGGCTGGACGGGTTGGTTTCTAGTTTGCTGATGTTCTTGGTGCTTTCCGCAGAGTGGACAGAAGATGCATGCTGGGCTCAGGGTGCTGTCCCCTAAGGGTGGCCATCCTGCCTCGGTTCCTGGCCCGTGGCACTGTCCTTTCTCCTCCTCTGAGAGTTCCTAGCATAGTGACCTTGTGTAGTACTTGTGCTGTCCCCTCTCTCGTCACGTCGGCCTTTCTGAGACTCTGCTTACTTGACTGCAGTCAGCAGCTTGCCCATCAGTGCTCCTGTCCCCCAGGGACATCTGGCCTGTGACAAGACTGCCTTGACTATGCTCCCTTGGCTGCCTCTCTGAGCAGCGTTGTGCTATCCTGTCCCACTCTAGCCCTGGGACATGGAACAGGGTCGCCCACAGCCAGGAGAGTCTGACTCCCAGCCAGGAGCCTGCCACCCACAGGGGCAGTGGCCATGCAGCTCTGGTCCTCCGGGCATCGTGCGCTGAGCATGCATTCCTGCAGTGGGGGCTCTAACCTTCCTGCCCAGGGTGCCAGCCACAGACCTGGAACTCTTTTCTGTTTCTGAGTCCCTCACAGAGCAGTCACACTGAAAGGTTCACATGCTTGCCTTTTACCAAAGAGGTGTTTCAGGTTTTTTGTTTTAAAGCCAAGTCCTGTCAGGAAAAAACTGAACTGGGGAAGGGCAGATTTGGTAAGCATATCTCCACATCCTCTTCCATAGAAACGTAACCAGCCTCAGTGTCGGGGTAAAGTGTCCTGGGAAATCCTCTCAGGTAGAGAGTCTACAGCAGATGGGTAATATATGTTTTGAGAGCTATTTATAAGAAATTTAAGAGGATTGGTTTTTTTAAATAAAGATTTAACCTTTTTTATTTTGTAAAGAAAAAATTTTATAGTCACAAGTTTGTTAATTTTTAAAACTTTTTCTGAAACAATTAGCTGTAGCCAGATTTTGTGGTTACGTTTTATATTTTAGAATTTGTATTTTAGAATCAGAAAAGGCAGTGTATGTGGCAAAACTGCTGTTCAGTGTTCGTAAAGGTCTCTGATAGCGTTAAAGTTTCTTAACTTCTAAAATTGTTATTTTTCCCCTGGAGTCAAAAAGCCAATTATGGATTTGTATTTTTTTTTTGGATGCTAATATTTCTACAAAGCAACTATGTTCACCGTCTTTTCCTATGTGGAAGCCTCAAAGCGTGTTAGCTCTGTACTTTAATAAAACATAAAATTGAAAATGGCAGTGTTTTCTCCTTTTCTGTTGGGCACAGGTCTCACCCCAGCCCTCCCAACCCCCAGGATGTGGCCTTCTGGGTTGACCCAGCCCTGGTCAGTGCTGTAGCATTGGGCTGATTTCTAAAACTTGACTAACGGAGACTGTGTGTATTTATGTATCCAACAGGGTGTTTTGAAATATGTGTAAATTCTGGAATGGCAAAATCAAGCTTATTAACCTCCATTTACTGCATTTTTTAATGGTGAGAGCACTTAGAATCTGCCCTCATAGCAATTTAAAGTGACCTTTACAGGTGGCACATCTGTGCTGGAGCCCTCGAATTTGTCCCACTTTTTGCATTTTGAGACGGTCGTGCTAAGCTGCTGGGTTGCTGTAGTGGGGCTCAGACTTGCCGTCTCCTCCTCCGCCTCGGCCTTCCAGGGCACTGGGGTCACAGATGTGTGCCCCTACACTAGGATGCACTGCATTTTCTCTGTATTCCCTGGGCTGTCTTCTTCCAAGCAGAGTGGCAAGGTCATTTAGGCAGGACTGTGGGGATGAGATCATTGCGGCTGTCTTGGGAAGTAGCCTGCTTTACCCTCTCAGTGGCTGCCCACTGCATCCAGAGGAGAAGCCAAGGTCTTCAGGGCCCCAGAACCCAAGAGAGCCACCACCCACTGCAGGCTCACCCCTCGCTGCCGCTCTTGCTAGCCTCCCTGCTGGGGTTCATCCCCAGCCCTTCTCGCAAGTCCACCACCACATGCCCCCTTTTCTCAGGCATAGTCCTCCCCACCTGTGCCACTTCCTGTACTGGCAGGTTCTACTTGGTCTTTTTGGCCCTAGAATGGAAGCTCACCAAGGGCAGGGTGTCCACTCATGGCACTCATCTGTGTCCTCTGGGTCCACAGCAGCACCGGGCGCAGCACAGGGGCTCAGCAAGCAGCCGTGCATGAGCAGGAGGGATCTGAGGTACATGGACGATGTGGCAGGAGGGCCCAGAGCCCACCGAGGGGCTTTATGCTGATGAAGTGTGGGCAGTGGGCACAGGGCTGGTGACAGGTGGGTGAAGGACAATATCATCTCGGCATCAGGAAGCAAAGATGTCTGAACTTGTAAATGTCCTCAAGTTCGGGGTGTGGCTCAATGGCAGAGCCCAGGCTTGGCCTGCAAGGGGCCCTGGGTTCTGTCTCCAGCATTAAAAAATAAAAATCACTTCTATATAGGTGTAAATATCTCAGGGCTATGACCAGCCACGAAAGTGTAAGACTATAAACAATACGACCAAGCGTTCCTAGTACTGTGTCATGTCTCAGTCACTTCCTCATGGCTGGGACAAGAGATCAACACTGGCAACTTAAATGGGGGGGGGGGGAGTTTATTGTGGTTCACGATTTCAGAAGTTCCTGTCCGTGGTTGGCGGCCTCAAATGCAGCAGCGGCCTGTGGAGGGTCTGGGCTGAGAAGAGGTGCTCACGGTGTGGTGGACAGGAGGCAGATGGGGAGGGTGGTGCATCCCGCCAGGTCAGGCCCCAGTGACCACCTCTGCCAGCCAGGCCACACCTCTCGAGGGCACACTGCACTACTCTCAGCAGAGGCCGAGTCCACCCACAGCACTCCACGATCCAGTCGGGGGGACGTTGCAGGTCTAAACTGCAACAGTAATCTAAATGCCTTACAGATCATAAAGAAAAACGCACTAAGATAGAAACAGGTAATTGATAAACTTGAAAATAACGTTTAGCATTAGTAGTTAAGGAGCTCTGGCTTCACCAGTCAAACCAGCAAGTCTCCTTCCCCGAGCCCTGAAGCTGTGGGTAGATGTTCAGCACTGCATGGTTGGCGCTGCTTTTGCCCGGCATTTCCCTGAGAACCAGGCCTGGATATTCACAACTCTTTACCAGAAAAATGCAGTGTTCATCAAAGCAAAATCATAGACATAAAGTTCATCGGAACATCTATGCATGGAAGGATGAGCAGCCAGTAAAGTTGTGTCATAGAAAATTATTTTTGCTGAACGTGTTCCAGATGTGTTAATTCAGAAAATGGTCTGTAGTGTGACCCAAACTGCACAAGTGTTTGCACTTGCGTTTGTGCACGTGTGCTCGAGCTGCCGCTGTTGTTGAAAGCCTCGGGGCTTGGGGTGCCCTGCAGCTGTGCCCACCACCTGCACCGACTCCCTCTCCTGGAAACTCAGACTGGGGCGGGAAGCACAGCCTTAGCCTGGCTGAGCTCCTGACAGAGTCGGGAGCCCTGGGCTGCTGGCAAGGCCCACGCTGGCGACACAGGTGTGGAGAGAAGGTGGGCAGGGGTGCCTGGATTTCCACCGTGTTCTGGCAAAAAAGCAGCGAGGACAGCAGCTAGATGCTGCTGTGCGATACCCACGAGTGTTGTGACTGCTTGGGCCCCATCCTGCACAGCGGGGAAGAAGGTAGAATTTCCCCAGTCCACCTGTCACCTTTGCTTCTACCCAGCAGCCTCCCCATACCCTTCCCGTCAGGCCAACCACTCCCAGACAGAGCTTCCTCTGCCCTTCTCCAAGTCTGCGAGACCCCGGGCCAGTGAGAGGTTGCCTGTGACTACCAGAGGCCCTAATGGCCCCTGGGAGCTCTGGCTTTCCCCTCAGTGGTCCTGGGGCTGCTTTGTTTTGATCTCATCTGCATTCCAGCCAGAGTTCAAAGGCTCCGGCTTCTGGAGAAAGGCACTGGGTTTTTTTTAGGGCTGGGAGTAGCATGAGGAAGTGGAAATAGCTTGTCATTGCTGGACAGTAAACCTACCCTCAAAGACAGTAGGCAAGCGGGATGTCAAGCCAATGTCTGTCCAGCTAGAAATTTAATCTATGAATCAGTCCTGTAACTGTTGGCATATTTTGTGTTCATTTCCTGTTTTGTAAGGCACAGAGCAGACCATCTTGTAGAAGGCTCTAAATATTAGTAAAACACAGGTGATTTAGTGTGGACTCAGTGTTTAAATGTCTGTAATTAGTGTTAAAGAGGTTTTCTGTGTTTTAGGTATTTAATAAGATGCATGCCACTGGACTGTAGAAATGCAACACTGGGCTGGGTGTGGTGGCACATGCCTGTAATCCTAGCATTCAGGGAGGTTGAGGCAGGAGGAGTTCAATTTAGGAAAAGCCTGCCTCAAAATTAGAAAGTTTAAAAGGCTTGGGATGTAGCTTGTGCAAAGGGCCTGGGTTCAGTCCCTGGGACCACACATACAAACACAACTGCTTTGTTGGTTTGAGAACTTGAGAAAATCAGCTAAAACTAGATGGCAATTTAAAATTTCTAAAACTTAATTGTAAAAGTTTGATAAATACTTAGATGTACTTTATCAAATTTGTAAGGCAGGCATTCATCAAATCAATAAAATTAGATAATATACATAAAATTAATGGACTCAATGAGGTAACACAAGTTTAAGAGCATCAAAATTGTTTTAAAATAAATATTTAAACATATAAATTATAAGTTAAAACTCAAGAAAATATTTTTTGTTACACTAACACTTTCCAAACACAAAAAGAACGCAGTTGACATTTTGCAAGGGGGTATATCCATCAGTGTAGGCCAAGTTATTCTGTGTAACAAGCATCTCCAGAAGTCTTGGTCTGATGGTGACAAAATTGGGTTCTTATTTGCATTAGGTCCGCTGTGGGCTGTCAACAGCTCTGCTCCAGGCTGTGTGAGACGTGGGGCTGAAGCTGATATTGCCGTCTCCATGTCAGTTGTTGCTCATTTTATGGGAGGAAAAAAGGATATGACACAGTCACATGATGGCGCTTAAAGCTTTTGCTAGAAAGGAGTGGTGGTACCCACTTGTAATCCCTGCTCCTTGAGAGGCTGAGGCAGGAGGATCACCAGTCTGAGGCTAGCTGGGAAGGTTGGTGAGACCCTGTGTCAACACATGAAAGGGGCTGGGGAGTGGGTCTGACAGGAAGGCGTCTGGGCTCTATTCCAGGACTGGAAAATGACAAGGATACCCACAGTGCCACTGCCACTGCATTGGTCAGAGCAAGTGTCACGCTCAATCCTGAGGTCCACACGGTGAGCTGTGTCCACCCCCAGGAGTGCTCCTAAGGTGCTGGCTTCAGGCTCAGGCTGTGGGACACAGATTCCCAGGGAGGGCGGCTGAGTTTGAACAGTGACCTGGCCAAGTGGATGGGAGGAAGCCCTAGAGTTAGTTCACTTTCTGCTCCTGCTCCTGGCATGTGCTGGAGGCTAACTTCCGGCAGCCATTGCTCCTGGACATTGGCGTCATGAGGGTTTTTATTTTCTCCTTTGAAAACTTTCTACAGTGAGTATGTGTGTCTTGGGTATCCAAACTAAATATTTTAATGAAAACTTTAAAGACATTAGTAGTCAGGTTAAAATGGTTACCTTCTGTTTGTTCCCAAAAGACTGTGGGTTACCAAGATGTCCAGCATAGGCAGGGTGTGTGTGGAAAGGTGTTGGAGACCACCACGAAGCAGCTTTGAGCAGGATTTAAATTTTACTAATTGGCTTTCTATGTTTATCTGTGAGTCTGTCCTAGGCCTCGGCCCCTTGCCGGGCGACGGGACTTGATTCATAGTAAGTGAACCTCTATGAATCACTGGTCCTGGCTGAGGCCTGCAGTAGTCTGTGAGGCCAGAGATACCTCAAAGGGCAAGATAAGGCCACAGCTATGGACACTTGGCTCCAACATCAGTTAAGTAGATAGAGACTGCAGCTGCAGGAATTATTCCTACAGTCTCACTCCTACCATGTCTTCATGATAAGACAGTGCCACTGAACTGCCTTGATTCATTACTTGGAGTCGTCCTTGAGATGACTCCCAAGGTCCTGCTCATTGCCTGCACTTTCCTCAGTCTCTCCGCCCTTTGTCCTTGGTCCTAATATAAGTGGACTGACCCAGAGAATCCTTTGTCTTTACTCTCAAAGCTTCAAGCTTAATTAAAGGGTTTTGACCCTCTTGGAGCCCTGAATTCATACAATTTGTCTGTTTTTATTTAACCTCCACCATACACTTGTTTGGGAGATCGGGGATCTA